TCCCCTGCGCTGCAAATCCCAGCTGCTCTCTGGCCTTTGGGAAGGGGGAGAGATGAGGTGGAACGGCAGCTGTGCGGATGCGGTGCTGCCTCAGACATGTTTCCTCTCACCAAAATGGCAGCCAAGGGGCTGTTTGCCTTGGAAGCCAATTTCTTGTTTTTTTTGTTTTTTTTTTTTTTTCCACCCAGAAAGAGCAAACCCAAGCACCCCAGCCCATGCTGTGTTATGGGTCTGAGCCCAGCAGGCCAGCCTGGCTTGCCTCCCATAAGGGGAGCATCAAGGTACATATAAAGATGCTTCCTTTTACCTCTGCCCAATAGCCCCATTTTCCTTGTGAAACCTGCAGGGGAGCCAGTCATGGCACACACTTTGGTGAGAAAATGTCTGTTGAACAGAGAATCACCTCAAAATATAAGTACTGCTCTGGCACATGCCTTGTGTTTGATAAAAGCTTGAGCTCAGACATTCGTGGCATCTTGAAGTTTTGCAGACAGAAATCCTGGCCAAGCCACCTGCCACCCACCACCATGGGGATTTGTATGGTGACTACAGGATTTGCCTCCAGGCTTTGCTTGCTTGCAGCCAGTGGTTTGCTTGGGGGGTGCAGTATCATGCAGGCAAATACAGTTAAAGTATTTTACTTTTACTGTAGGAGGGATGCAGAAGATGGGGGGACCTGGTCCTGCCTCTAGACTCTCTGGAGGCTGCTGCAACTGCTGGATCTTGGCACAGCAAAGGCACCATGGTGTTAATGCTTTTTTAGAGAAATAATGGCTACAAACCTTGTTGCTTAGTCGGCAGCAATCTGAAAGCAAAGCTTGGGGTTTAATAAAACCTGAGTTGGGCAAATCTGAGACAAATCTGAATCTGCCTAAACTACCCATAGCTCCCCACCTTTGAAAGGTGTGGGAATCGTGTTGCCTTCAGCCTGCTGGAAAAGTAAGGGGAAAAGGCATCCCTGAGCAAAATTCCTTCCCTGAAATATGTTTAAACTTGCTCTCTTCTGATGAGCAGAAGTATGTTCCTCCCCGACGCTGCTATCACTGCCACAGTGTGCATGTACAGATGATGCTACTGAAATGTATACGTGATTGACTTCAAAGCACTGAGCACGTGCATGTGTACTCAAGTGTGGTGAATGAGTTTGAATCAGTCTTGACATGGCTTTCCTCACCGGCCTGGCCTGGGTGCCTAGGCAAGGTTTTTACTCTCATTGCTTTCTGATAAGATGGAGCTCCTCTAGCTGCCTTTTTTTTTAACCTCCTCTGACATTTAGGGCTTGTCTATACTGGGGATTTAATTCAAATTATTTGAGGATGTGAATTTAGAGAGGAATAATTATTCTTGATTAACTCCCCATGTGGACAGTCTTGTTCCAAACTAGAAGTGCTTTATTTCAAATGGGTTTAATTGACTACAAGAAAATCTGTATGTTGTTTTCTCTAAGAAAAAGGGAAAGGAAGGATAGAAAATGGAGAATACTTTTTTCCTCTTCAATTTGTTAAAAAATGCAAGGACTTTTGAACGTTATGAAAGTTTTAACTGAAAATTGCTGTATGCTATTATGTATAATTTGCACCTCTGATAAACTGCATGCTGTTAAAATTATTGTTCCATGAAAATAATTACACAGCAGCCAACATAATTAGACAAGCAATGCAAAGTCAGAGACAGAAATGTAGGATGAGACTCTGACTGGGAGGGCTGTTGTTAGGGATGTTGCTCTAAGGTGTATTTTATTCTGTCCACACACTGGCATCCAGCCTGATTTGCTGGAACCAAAACTGATTACAGAATGTAATAAGCCTCACAAATGCTTAATCAAAAAAAGGTTCTCAACTTTAAGATGAATTTTCTTTTCAAAAGAAAAGATGAATCCCAGATTAATCAATACTCTGCCAGAAAATCAGAGATCAGGGTGCCAAAAAATGTCCAACAACTCCAACGGTGGAGGCACTGATGCTGCTGATGACTGTGGTACCCAGAAGAGAGAGCTGGAGTCAGGCAGGGCTCTGGCTGCCAAGTGTCACACATGGGCTCAGGCACTGGTCGCTTATCAACCATATTATTGAACTGATCTCTTCTCAGATACCATTATTTAAGGGTATTAAGGTATTTGCCTGGGGACAGTGCAGGATGCAGTGAGCACTTTAGGGTGAAGAGTGTTCAGCTTCTGCAGAAACAGAGCCTAGAATTGAAACTCCTGCAATCGTACCAAGAGAAGTGGGAAACTTACACTTAAAACTTCCAGAAAAGGCTTTTTCTTCGGTTTTCTGGAATTGCTTTCAATATTGGGTTTCACTGACCCTTCTTCTTTAACAAAGTGGAAGAGCAATCAATAGACAGGAGACAATTATGCCACTTTTTAAAAACCTATTCTACATAGGTTTTTCATAGACACAGTTAGCAGCTCTGATGAGAAGAGAAATCCTATGTCCACATCTATCCATTCTCTATGTCTGCTTCAAGGTACACTATGAACCCCTACTCACGCATACCAAGCCAAACCTTTCCCTTCTTCTTGAAGAGCAATATCCTAACAAAATGCATTCCTTTAATTGTCCAACCCATCAGACCAAGACAGATCATGGCCAAAAATCCTAGAAAGACAAAGTAAAACATGTTTTCCAAACACTGACCTAAATCTTGAGCTTCCTAAACCTTACAGCCATGGGAGACATGGGTTAGGTACAGCGTGTGGGCAGGTAGGCTTCACTGCACATCTCACCATCCTGGTCACCTTCGCCAGGTCCAGAATGAGCAGGAGAACTGCAGCCCTTCTCTAGCCCACACATCCCCAGCTCTTGCTGGGAGAGAAGGCAATGGGTGCACAGACTTTATTGTGGGATGGAAATTGGATGTGGCAGCAAACATCTGAACTCAGGAGCTCAGGAAAGGTGTCCAGCGCCACACTTCACATACGGCATTAGTAACTTTGGGGACTTTCAGTAGATCTTGGGCTCTCTGGGGCCTGAGATATTCTGAAAACAGGACTTCAGGATGCTTTCGCAAATTTTAGTCAAGGTGAATTTATACTGAAGTCTAAATCCACAGTTAATTACAACCAAGTAGAAATTGTTCTGAAGAGATTAGGGATGAGCTTTTGAAGGAGGCCTCTGAATTTTAAGTAACCAATTCTCATTGAAAGTCACTGGGTTTGAGCATCTACCTCCCTTGTTCACTTTTGAAGATCCAAACCAGGGTCTAAAACTCATTCTGTTAACAAGCCAGGCAATAGTTCTTCCCTGGGAAAGCAGTCTTCTGATATCCCAAAATTAAGACAACAGAGAGCTACAGTTTTGTTTTATTCTCAAAGGCTAATACTGAAACAATACAGAAATCATTGTGAAAAATAAACTACAGCAATTTAGATATTTAGTTTTCAAATCAGTTGACAGGCATAGCAAGGAAATGTTTTTACCTCTGAAGAAATAAATGTAATAAAATACTGTTTAAACAATGTTTAAGTGATGTGATGAAAGACGGGTTCACGAACCCTCTGTTATGTTAACAATTAGCAGTGCAGGACATGGATTTTGTTTAAGAAATGTGTACTGCTAATATTGGGGTCAACATGCGAATAAACAAGAATGGCAGTATGGACTACAGTCAGACTTCGTTAATGTATGCTTGGTTATCTGTATTGCTTTACTTATCATACCAAGATCTACTGCAGTCAGGTCCTCTGTGTCCATATGTCCAGAGGCAGGTGTGGGCACCCACTCATACTCCTGCCCACATCGAGACATCATCTATGTGCTGAAATGACCTTCTTGCTCAAAGTGAGGAAGACAGACATGTACCAGCCCATTACTGAAATCTGACGCTGACCCACGCTGCTAGAGGCAGCAAGGTCCAAGTGTTGGGGTGCTGACCTGGGACCACCCCAGGAGCTATCACTTGTTCTGCTATAGATCAACCATGCAATGCCAGGCAAGCTACTGTGCTCTCCTCTCGCTTTCTCTTAGCTGTTAATCTTATTTGACCATAAGCTGCTCTCTTGCCGTTGGCCACAATTGTATCCCGAGCCCGAAGTCCTCACTGACGGTAAAGATAAACTTCTTGGAGTTGGACTTCAGAAGACTCAGGTGTCTTGGACAGCTTCTGATTCATCTCGTCACCCACTGCCTTGGAAAGCTGTGGCCTATTTCCAGATGTATCCTTGGACGGCTTGGTCCTCAGTCCGTCTCAGTGATAGCTTGGGAATAGCCATGGAAAGCCAGGCCTGAGAAGCATCATCTTGAGAAGGTCACTGCCATTTATAAAGAAGAAGCTTTCATCTTCATTATACCTTAAATACTCTCTTAAGCCTTTTAATTTACAGATAGCAATGATGGAAAAGTCCATTATCTGAGTCGACAACAGTCCTCTGAAATATCTGCCGAATGACCTAGCTCACCAAACGTTTCCCCAAGGCACTTCTACTGACATATATCTAGTATGATCTCTATTTTCCATGCTGCAAAACACATACCGTAAGCCAAACTCTGCTCCTGGAAGTTGGCAATGTGAGGGTTTGGTCCACCACAATGTTGACCACCCCCAGTTCCCACCATGGGCAATGAAGGTGAAGGTATCCAGCACCCATAAGAAGCCCATGGATGACAATGGACACTATTTGGACCTCCTGTGCAATCTCTGATTAGATAACGGTCTAGCTCTAGGAGGAATGTGTATTCCCTCCCTCTCATTCTCTCTTTTTCTTTCTCTGTCTTAATAATGCATGTAGCTCTGATTTATTTTTTATCAAGATTAACAATGGAACAATGCTGCTTCAAATATTAAAAAGGCAAAGAAATGTAGGTACTGAAAAGGAAGGAAAATACCTCAATTTCAAGCCTAAAGATTACTTTATGTCCCAGAGGAAGCAGAAGCAATTTAGTGGCTGATACCCTTAGCAAGAAAAAAGGTTGTAAGATTAAGACCAACTGCTGTTTGGATAAGTGGTTGGTAATTGCACATATCAGCAATTATGTGCTGTCATATCATTTTTCTGTTACCTTACTCCTCTCTTGTGTCCCGTCAGGGTTTACTTGGAATGACCCTACATCTATGGTCCTCTTTGGATTCACCTTCTTAATGTCATACAACAGTGCCTCGCAAGTTCAAACAAAAAAGTCATTATTACAGGAGGCGCCTGGTGGAGGTGCTCCTCTTCACAGATGTAGCTAGAGGCTACTGTTATAATAACCAGGCTTCCAGGAAGAGAAATAAAGAAAGGCCTCCTGAACCTGCAAAAACCTTCTTTGTCCTCCAGTCTCACAGGAGGAGAAGTGGGTGCACGTGGGGAGAGTTTTAGTGAGGAGAGGTTTGAGTGGGCTAGGAGAGGGTTGTCTCTGTGCGTGGTTCAGGTGCCATCCCGCCCGTGACGCTGCAGCACCTGGCTCTGGGTCATGCTGGGGGCGCTCGGCGGGAGCTGGGGGCCCTGAGGCTTGCTTTGTTGGGGCAGTATAGTCATTATATTGAATCCTCTTCAGATGAAAAGGGGGAGCTTGAGTTCACTGTATGTAGGCTGCTTATAATTCCTGCCCCAGCTGGGGACATTTCAGGGGGTAATGGTGGCCCACCCTTGAGCTTGTCAGAGGCTTTGCGTCACTCAGAAAGGTGAATGCCATCAGAAACACGTTTTCTCTCACAGAAGTAACTGATTCCCCAGTAAAGTGTCAAAAGATGACAAAGTTTGTTCCAGCTAAACTCATCTGTTCATTGCCTGAGGGAAGCCTCCAGCTTATATGGCACGGGGTGCTCCCATGGAGCAGAAAATGTTTAGCTCACTAATCAGATTCAGGCAGGAGTTGTGACTGCTGCTGTCTGCAGTGTGCCTACAGTATATTGAGAGGGGATGGGCAATAGCTGGCTTTCATATATCCCAGTACCGGCCTGCAGTGATGCCTCTGAGGTCAACAACTTTATAGGGATGTAAAGGAGAGCAAGAGTTTTACACGGGGATCCCGCCGCACAGGCAGAGTAAGTTCTGCCTCTGCAAGGGCCATCATGGTGAGAAGCTCTGTGAAGGACCAGCCAACTGCTGCGTCAGGCTGCAGGAGATGCCAAACCGCAGCCAAATGCAGGAGTCTTAGCAGTGATAGCAAGGTGCCACCTAACAGCTCATGGAAAAGCTAATACCCTTTGAAAAGCAGATAAAAGATTAATCAGCACAGATGAAGATATGAGGGCTTGGGCTTATACAGCCTGTAGCTCCTGCCAAGAAATTGTGTGGAAGGTAGAAATGAATTTAAAAGGTTGACTGGGGGCCAGCAAGTCAATAACTGAATAATCCCACCCAGATAGGAAACCAAAGCATAAACAAGAGTCTCCACATGCTGACGAGTTAGCACTGGTTGCACTCTGGAAAGGATCCTAAAATAACAGAGATTCCTGGAGACAGAATAAACACATCTCTCAGTTGTCATCCTGAGCAGAGGGTAATTGCCTAGATGTCTGATTGACTCGCTGCTAGAACTAAATATGTAGTTCTCTGACATGCTGTCACCTCCTTCGCCGTACGTTTGAGATTTTTCAGTAAAGCACATCAGGAATCAAAGCAAATGTCCACAAGGAAAGATGCATCTCGACCTTGAACTTTAATCACCGGCAAAGGGCTGAAAATGTATTTAAAAGAAGTGAAGTTACTGCATTCCTGAGAGCGACATTTAATCTTGAAATTCCCCGGGGGCTTGTGCACATACGATCCAACACCCCCATGAGAGGAACAGGGAGTTGCAGCCCCTGTCTGAGGGCTGGGGAGTTGGCGCACCACTTTCTGAGCTCCCCAGTCAGACCGTGACATGGACCTCAACTGTGTATCTGATCCCCACTTCCTTTCCTGGGGTTTCCTTCAGGGTTTCCTTTAGCATGACTCTTCCCAGATTGCACTGCTGGAAGAGACAGAGGAGCAAAGTTCCCAAGTTAGTCTTCTTTCTAGTTTTAGCAGCTCTTTTACCCTGAACCCGAGTGCTTGATGCCTTCTAAAAGCCACCACAAGGCTCTTGGTTAGCAACTGCTATCAAGCACTGAGCAGTCCTGTCTACCCTACTCATACTTTGCTTCCTTCCCACCTCAGAGCTAGTCTCAGTTTCAGCTACATTAAACTTTTATTTATGTATATGTAAGAGAATCTACCCAGAAGCCTTAACGCTGGAATGTTAATATGAATTTTCAATAAGTCTTGGAAGTTGAAGGGGGCTGGATGGCTGTCAACACAATACTGATTTTTAAAAGCAAAATCACCTGGCCAAATCCTAAGCTGGCCCAGCTCCTGGGAAGGATGATGTGTTCAGAGCTCAATTCATAATAGATATAAAAAATAACATACTAAATGCAATGCAGTGTGAGTTCATGAAGGTGAGGGTTAGTTAACCTGGTATTATACTCAATATGTAACAGACTTCTATAAAGTAATTTACTCCATACTCTGTGACAGCTTAGGTACTGAACTCAAACCAAAATTAACCTGGTATGTCATAGGTAAAAGGAAAATTTTAAACAACAGGCCTTTAAAGGTAACTATAAAAGAAAACTATGACTAGATGAAGGTAATTCTGAAAGAGTCCCAGTTCTAAGTCCTCAATCTTTCATATTATGCATTTGAGGAAAAAATATCATCATCATCAGAAAACACAGACATTGGATGTGTGATTAGTAGTGAAAGGATAAATCACAGATGTGGGGTGATCTGCATCACCCGGTGAGCTGCATGTGGGCAATCAGTACGGTCAGACACGAAGTAATTCCTCAGCAAAGAAGGAATGCTGGCCAAGCTCCCACACTGGCTGCACTGGAACCAGTTGAAAAATGGCTAATGCGAAACCTTGGAGAAATGGAGAAAATCTGTGAGCTGCAGACTGGAGGAAGGAGGTCACACCACCTCCCACTGCAGGTCTGTTATGGTCTCTGCTGTGAAACTGCCTCCAGGACGGCAGGCCAGCACTACCATCAGGTGAAGGAGCAGGAGAGACTCTGAGAAACTCCACAAAGAGACCAGGAATCATGGCATGGGGCGGTGGAGGGACAGCTTCTTCTTTCTCCCTCCAAAATAGGGAAACTGGAGACACTGGAGGGCTCAGGCACGTGGCAAGGTAGTGGAAACCACGTACCTCAAATCCAGGCTGGTGGCCCAAGGACAAGACTATCTTCTCTATCTCTCTGCATTTGAGAACTCACCCTAGAGTAAACTGAATTCCAGGTCACAGCAAGCTTGTGAGGCTGTTTTACAAACCTGTTTCCTCCCCTCGTCTCCAGCCTGTGCAGGAAAAAATTTTCTAACAGAAACTTCAATGGAGCTATCACTTTGTGAGCACTGCAAATATATATATATATATGAAGAAACTTGTCTAATACATGTTCAAGATAAAAGTTTGAGATGTCAGTGAATTTTATCTGAAAAAACCAGGCATTCATGCACAAGAGGATAACTTCAAACCTACCTACCTATCTATTTAACTCTGAGCTCTAGGTAGATAGAGAAATCAAGTGGAAGCTAAAGCAGGAGGACAGATATAAAATGATTTCTGCAGGCAAAGAACAGGACAACCCCACAGGTACTGCTAAACCGAGTTTCGGAGAGAAAAGTGGCAATTACCCAGCCTGTGCCTCCTGCCCTCGGACACACGACCTCAGGAGCGAAGTGATGTGCTCAGCTGAGACAGTCAATGTGCCCCAGGGGACTGTGATAGCACACATCTCTGCTGCAGCCAGCTCTTTTTCTACCCATGGTGACCTACTCATCTTCCTCTTTTCTTTTACTACAGGAAGAATATTATAACAAGCCAGGGAAAAACGAGGTAGGAAGGGATGCAAGATGGACAGGAGGAACACAGCCCAGGCAGAAGACCAGGTGCTCTGTTGGTTCTCCCTTGGTCTGATTTCATACCAGCAATGATGGGAAAAAAATCCAGTGATTTAAAACCAGTATAAATAAGTCCTAGCTTGGGCTTACTGTACAGTGAATTCCCTTTTTCTTCAAAATTCTATTTCTTAAGAAGAACCTTCACTCACAGAGACTGCAAAGCCAGAAGGCTCTCTCCATTCATTTACATATTAAAACTCAACAGATGATGAAGGAGAAGTAATTACTGGAGACAGGAATAGTAGTTTTCTTAGCTATGTTTATTCATTTTCTTTTTGCTCAGTAAAGTCTGTGCTCAAAAGAAAGCTGAATATTTCAGATACCTTTGTAAGCAGTGTTTTACACCATCACACACTAGTATACAGCACATTAACTTAAAGTGATCTAACACAATCAAAATGAATAAGATAATGTAATGCAAAGGAAATGTGTGGCAACATCTTTTGTCTGCAGAGCCAAGAGCTGAGCAACACCTTGAGGCAGTGTTTCAGTGAAAGGTGCTGTGATGAAAGTCTGCCCTGGGCAAACTGAAGTTCACCTCTGACCCAGCAGCAAAGATGGCCACTGCAGCCTTATCTTCCTGACTGCTAACAGGATGGGTGCTCTCTCTCACCCAAAGCCCTCTGAGCAGAAGATGGATCCTGGAGATGGTATTTCAAACTTCCATTTTCCCTTCAAGCCATTTGGATTTATTTTTTCTCGCTCCCAAGTTGTTTCACGTTAACTGTATTCAACTACAGGGAGTATCAGAAAATATTACCTCAGCTTGAGAACAGATTTGCTCTCAAGTGACATCTTCCAATACTACTGATTTATACCCTTTTCCTGCATTGATCTGTTGGGAGCTTTCATCAGCTATATCTGACATAAACACTGTATTATTCTGTATTGCATTATACCCTAGAAATCCACTCAAATCCCTTTGCTCCTCAAATTAAAGCAATACGCATTACAGTGTCCTGATTTCCTTCTATTCTTGAATTTGCATTTTTGTATCATGCTCTAGATTACTCATGTATATTTTGGCATAAGCATCTCCCTGTTCATTTAAGAATATTGCCTTTAATCTTCGTTTATACCTTGAAGCATACAAAATCCTGGACCCAAAGGACACATGGAGACACTTAGTTCCCAGAGTGGCTGCCTTTCTGTGGAAGTTATTTAAAGCAAACTTCATGTTGTTCAGAAGCTGAAGCCTTGTTCCAGGGTGATCCTGTGGACACCCATGATGTGCTTCTGGTCTCACTG